CAGGGTGTTTCGTCAAGCTCAGCGCTTCTTAACCACGGCAAGTTTAAGACGGTGGACTTCAATTCCCAGAATTCCTCAAGCCATCAAGATGCATGAAGATGCCACAGAGCACACCAGGCCTTTTCATTTTATATTGTCTCTAGAACAGTGGTTCTCAACCTGTGGGTCGGGACCCCATTTGGGGTCGAACGACCATTTCACCGGGGATCAGCCAAAACAACACAGTCCCGCACATTTTTTCCCTTCCCCCTCTTTCCCATCCGTAGCTTGTGCTACTCCCTTTTAATTCCTTTGGCTTTTTGGAAAGCCAATAGAATAGACTCTCTTGAATAGAGTCTAATTCTAATTGGCATTTCAAAAAGTGTCCAATAGAATTAGTCCAGAGCTGTCATGCTATCCACTGCTGAGAAAAAAGCACGCCTAAAGTCCGCCAGTCCTGCAAACGGACTCTCTTGAATAGAGTCTAATTCTATTGTCTTTCAAAATCCAATAGGAATTGTCCAGGCTGTCTCTGCCCTGCTGAGCCCGCCAAAAGTCCCATTCTGCAAACGGTGCTGCACCAGTTGAGTAGTCCTCGACTTACGACCGGTTGAGTAGTCCTCGACTTACAACCGGTTGGGGTCGCAGCATTAAAAAGGTTGAGAACCACTGCTCTAGAAGATTGAAACTGGTCTTTTTTGCAAGTATATCTATTTATGAAATATTGCGCAGAGAGCCGAGGCTCTCTTACAAGGGGAATTAATTCTCCTGCAGTGCCCTCTCTTTTTAAAATTAAACAAGGCAAAATGTTTATAATCATACAGGCAGTCCTCGACTTCCAAAAAGTTCGTTTAGGAACCGTTCAAAGTCACAACGGCACTGGGAAAAAAGGGACTTGCGACCGTTTTTCATAGTTACCCTGTGCAACATCCCCATGATCATGTGATCAAAATTCAGACGCTTCATATTTATGACGGTTGCACTGTCCCGGGAGGGGGTGTGTCATGTGATCACCTTTGGCGCCCTTGTGACAAGCAAAGTCAGCTGGGGAAGCCGGATTCTCTTAACCACCGCGTGGCTAACTGAACAACGTGCAGCGATTCATTTAACAAATGTGGCAAGAAAAGTCGTAAACGGGGACAAAATTCATTTCTCACTTAGCAACATAAATTCTGGGCTCAATTGTGGTCATACGTCCAGGACTATCTGCATTAAGTATGCCCGTTCTTTTGAAATGACAAAATACCAACAGCCCACCATGATAAAGAGTAGCAGCAATGTCAACAAAACCAGTAACAACGGTAATATGCTGCTTTAGCTCAATGTATGCATATTTTATTCATAAACCAATCGAACAGTTTAAGACAGGGGTCTTCAAAGTTGGCCCTTTTATGACTTGTGGACTTCAACTCCCAGAATTCCTCAGCCAGTGTACCTGGGAGTTGAAGTCCACAAGTCATAAAAGGGCCAACTTTGAAGACCCCTGGTTTAAGAGTTGGCCTGCTATACTGCTAGATCAGGGGGTCTTCAAACCTGGCCCTTTTATGACTTGTGGACTTCAACTCCCAGAATTCCTCAGCCAGTGTACCTGGGAGTTGAAGTCCACAAGTCATAAAAGAGCCAACTTTGAAGACCCCTGGTTTAAGAGTTGACTACAGTACAAATAATAGAACAACAAAAGTAGCAACAAGGTTATATTGGAACCAAAATGGGCTGAAATGAAGAAGCCAAGGAACATGAAAGCAGAAGAACAGTGACAAAAGAAGGCAAAAACAGCACCAATACTAACAGACAACCACTTTGAGCGCAATCCCAAAATAACTGAAATTGAACTTGATGCGAAGTTGAACTAAACAACTTGACCACCGTTAAGTACTGACAAAACCCCAACGGGTCAATTGCGAAAGGCAAGCTTTCCTTGGAACAGCTTACATCTCGTGAAGGTACTTTAAACAACCATCAAGCGACAACATCAGCTTATCCCAAGACCTTTGGAAGGACTCGAAAGTTAGATCAAAATGCCAAATTCCAGACTAAATATCCAGCTGATTGTGCAATCAACAATTCGCTGCTTTGTCTAAATCCACACATATTTCATTCAGAAGCAGTTCGACTGGGGTAAATACAACTCTGACCCTAGCTTTACAGTTCAGTTTAGACATTTGTTCAAAAGTTTGAAATTCTCTCTCTCTCTCTCTCCCCCTCTCAAAACTCAGCCACATTTGTTCAAGTTTGAAATTATCTCTCTATATCTATCTATCTATCTGTCTGTCTGTCTGTCTGTCTGCCTGCCTGCCTATTAGCAAAATTAAAAGAAAAACGAACACCAGGATAGGAATATAAACAAGACTGTTTAATATAAACAAGTCTGTTGATAAAAATCAGTTAGCTTTTGTTGGCCAAACTGTTGTCAGAGTAGGGATATATATAGTGCTAGGCTGCATTAACAGAGGGATAGAATCAAGATCACGTGAAATATTAATACCACTCTACAATGCCTTGGTAAGGCCACACGTGGAATACTGCATCCAGTTTTGGTCACCATGATGTAAAAAAGATGTTGAGACACTAGAAAGAGTACAGAGAAGAGCAACAAAGAGGATTAGGGGACTGGAGGCTAAAACATATAAGGAACGGCTGCTGGAATTAACGAAGAGAAGGACAAGGGGGGGGGACATGATAGCAATATTCCAATATCTCAGGGGCTGCCATAAAGAAGAGGGAGTCAAGCTATTTTCCAAGGCACCTGAAGGCAGGACAAGAAGCAACTGGTGGAAACTAATCAAGGAGAGAAGCAACCTAGAATTAAGGAGAAACTTCCTGACAGTGAGAACAATTAATCAGTGGAACAGCCTGCCTCCAGAAACAGTAAATGCTCCAACACTGGAAGTTTTTAAGAAGAGACTGGACAGCCATTTGTCCGAAATGGTATAGGGTTTCCTGCCTGAGCAAGGGGTTGGACTAGATGACCTCCAAGGTCCCTTCCAACTTTACTACTAATATATACACACACACACACACACACACACACACACACACTCAAAACTCAGCCACATTTGTTCAGGTTTGAAATTCTATCTATCTATCTATCTATCTATCTATCTATCTATCTATCTATCTATCTATCTATCTATAATTCAGCCACATTTGTTCAGGTTTGAAATTCTATCTATCTATCTATCTATACACACACACACACACACACACACACACACACACACACACAGCCTTAATTAATCTTCTCCATCATTGCTCTGAAGAAGTTTCTTGAATGAGAAGCAAAACATCCTCAAGGAAAAAACAAAGTCAGGTTACTTTTTTAAAAAGCACTTTTGGGAAATTTGGTACATAAAATAGAGCTATCAAAGACTTTCGCCATCGTATTAAATAAATCAACAATGCAGTCAGCCTTGACCAAATGGCTGGTCTAACCTGTTCCTCAACCGGAGCTTAAAAGATTTTGAAGAATTTGCTTTTATATGCAGCTTTTTTGCTCTTGACCCTTTTGTGCTTTTAAAAACCATCAAGGACCCCAAAAGGGCTTTGGTATGTATGGGTTTACCTCATTCAATATTCACCATATTAAGCAACTAAAACTGATACATTCACCTTCACGACACTTGTTACATGGGATTTTAATGCTAATATTTTTCAACATAGATGGATTTTATGGGACTCAGAAAGGATCTTGGGGACCTCCAGGAGTCTTAAGCACACGCTTTGAGAAATACAGGTAGTCCTCAACTTACAACCACAATTGAACTCACTCTGTTGCTAAGAGAGACGTTTGTTAAGTGACTTTTGCCCCATTTTACGACCTTTCTTGCCACGGGTTAAGTGAATCGCTGCAGCGGTTAAATTAATAATACGCTTGTTTAAGTGAATCTGGCTTCCCCCTCCTACTTTGCCAGTTAGGAGGTCGCAAAAGGAGATCACGTGACCCCGGGACACTGCAACCGTCACAAAGACGAGTCAGTTGCCAAGCATTTGAATTTGGATCACCTGACTATGGGGATGGTGCAAGGGCCGTAAGTGTGAAAAATGGTCATACAGTCCCTTTTTTCAGTGCCTTTGCAACTTGCAAAGATCACCACACGAACAGTTGTAAATCGAGGACTACCTGTATTGTAAATCGAGGACTACCTGTACTAATAAAGCAGGGCAGAAACCCACATTTTCTACAGGCAGTCCTCAACTTACAACCGTTCGCTTAGTGACCGCTTGAAGTTACAAGGGCCCTGAAAAACGTGAGTTTTGCAACCAGTTTTCACTCTTACAACAGTTGCAGTGTGGGGGGGTCAGGTGATTCCCTTTTGCGACCTTCTGACCAGCAAAGGCCATGGGGAAGCCAGATCCATTTCACAACCGTGTGTGTGTGTGTGTGTGTGTGTGTGTGTGTGTGTGTGTGTGTGTGTGTGAGAGAGAGAGAGAGAGAGAGAGAGAGAGAGAGAGACTAATTTTATAACAGCAAGCGATTCATTTCACCACCGCGCCAAGGAAAAGGTCGTAAAACGGGGCAAACCTCACTTAGCCCAAGGCCTCGCTTAGCAACAGAAACGTGGGGCTCGACTGTGGTCGTAAGTGGAGGACTGCCCTGCATGGCGAAATAAAGCCACGTAGGGCTCCTCCTCCTCTTTCCATTTTTATCATCTTTCCCAAGACAGAAATCAGCAAGGCCGGGGGAAATGAATCCCCTTCCCAAGGGAAGGGTGGGAGCTCAGCCTCCCCTTAGAAAACGAGGCGGCCCCGAGCACGTTTTCGGCCTGATGGCGCCCCGCTTTCTCCTTTCCCGGCTTCAAAATGGCTGAAAAGATGCGTTTTCCCGCCGGGCAGATGTCCCGGCCTTGGGAAAAACGGGGGCGGCGGCGGCGAAAACCTAAAAATAAAAATATTTTTTTTTTAAAAAAAAAAAAAAAGCACAGGCGCGACTTCTTCGAAGGGCGGGAAAGACCCCGCCGGCCCCACCCGCCCCGCAGCCCGCCGAAAGAAGCGGGGGAAGGGGGAGAAAAGGCCGTTCTCACCTTTGCTTTCCTCAAAGTTGCGCCAGGCGGCGGCGGCGGCGGCGAGGAGGAGCAGGAAGGCGCTCCCGGGGCTGGTCGCCCCACAGAGCCGCAGAGCCCACGCGCCTCTCTTCCTGCAACGGACGCATCCAATTCACCAGGCGACGTCCATAGGCCCGCACGGACCTTTCTCTCTCGCTCTCGCTCTCGTTCTCTCGGGTCGCTTCCTTTTCCCAGAGCATGCCGGGAACTGGAGTTTCGTCAGCGGCCCACCTACGGGAAGGCGGGAGGGACTAAAGAGGCGAACGCCTGGGAGGATTGAGGTGGCACCGCTGAAATGACGGCGGTGGCAGCAGCAATAATTATATTCGTCGTAATAGACATTTATGGACGACAACAGTATACTGTGGGATAGTATAGCACATTATTTCTCAACCTTAGCCATTTGAAGATGTACGGACATCAACTCCCATAATTCTCCAGCCAGCAATGCTGGCTGGGGAATTCTGGGAGTTGAAGTCCCCACAGCTTTGCTGGCTGGAGAAGTTGAAATCCGCACATCCGAAGTTGAGAAACGCTGCTATAGCATTGTAGCAATAACGATGATAACGATAATGATGATATCCATTCATGGAAACTAATCAAGGAGAGAAGCAACCTAGGAGAAACTACCTGACAGTGAGAACAATTAACCAGTGAAACAACCGGCCTCCAGAAGCTGTGAATGCTCCAAACACGGGAAGTTTTTAAGAAGAGACTGGACAGCCATTTGTCTGATTTGGTGTAGGGTTTCCTGCCTGAGCAGGGGGTTGGACTAGATGACCTCCAAGATCCCTTCAAACTTTATTATTATTGTTGTTGTTGTTATTGTTGTTATAAAAGTACATACAGTATAGGACAATACATAGTAAATTATTATAGCATATATTAAAATATTACGAGTATAACAATAAAAGTACATATATCAATAAGGGTATGTATATAAATATAGTAGATACAGTATATGATAATTTTATCAAATGTATATGCCACTCTCTTGCAATTGAAGAAATATTGCTCTATATTAATACCATATATTACAACAATAGTAGATTTGTTTATTTTTATCTCAGCTTTATTATTTTTATATATAATTCATTACGGCGGACATACATAATACTCCCTCCTCTTCTTTTCCCACAACAATCCTGTGATGTGGGTTTGGCTGGCTGAGGAATTCTGGGAGTTGACATCGTCAAGCCTTAAAGCTGCCACGGCGGGAGACCCCTGTATTAAAAGGACTGAGGGAAACTCAGAAGTGATGAGATCAATCTCACCTCAGAGTGGAGGGGAGAAGTAATAACAATAACAACAATAATAAAGTTGAAAGGGTCTTTAGAGGTCATCTAGTCCAACCCCCTGCTCAGGCAGGAAACCCTATACCATTTCGGACAAATGGCTGTCCAGTCTCTTCTTAAAAACTTCCAGTGTTGGAGCATTCACCGCTTCTGGAAATTTTTAAGAAGAGACTGGACAGCCATTTGTCTGAAATGGTATAGGATTTCCTGCCTGAGCAGGGGGTTGGATTAGATGGCCTCCAAAGTCCCTTCCAACTTTATTATTATTATAAGGCAAGATCAGATCCTAACATTTAGACGCAAGCCGACTCAATCTGCCAGGGACAAAAGAGCAACCAAATGACAAACTCCTGTCCATCTCATCCATTACGAACTAGAACGCTTAGCACCTTTTGTGCAGAACACACCTCTTCTTCCTGATCTTGTAGAGATCTAGCCTCGGTTACTTCCTAACCAAGGTTAACTCCGCAAAGAGATTCATTATTACGGTACCAGGGTTCTTGAAGGCTTTACAACGGCTACAGCATTTAATCCTACTGTGTTTCCCCGACAGTAAGACCTACCCAGAAAATAAGCCCTAGCCTGAATTTTTTTACTCTGCTCCTAATATAAGCCCTACCCCCAAAATTAGCCCGGGGGGTGTGGGCGTGGCCAGCACAGAAGGCAGCAAGTGAGTGGGGGCCGATACTATCCGGCAGCAGTTGTAGCTCACACAACACAGATAAGTCCAAGCGCAGAGGCAGAGGTGAGGGAGGCAGGCAGGCGATCCAGTCCTGCTGAGCGGCCACCTGGCTTTTGGGAGGCTCGCGGGAGGTTCACGTGGTGCACCAGCAACAGGCGGAGGCAGAGGCGTAGGAGGAGAGGCAGGTGATCCCGACACGCCAACCACTCCATCCCACCATCTCTCGGCTCACCTGCGGCCGTGCCGCAATCATCTGCCTCCTCCCCATGCCTCCGCCTGCTGCCGGTGGTGCCGCGCGAGCGTCCCAAGAGCCAGGCAGCCGCGCAGCACATCCAGATAGCCTGCCTCTCCCCTCACCTCTGACTCCACACTCAGATTTACCTGTTCTGCGCCAAGGGGCCGGCAGGCTGCGGCTGCTGGACACTGTCGGCCTCACGCACTCGCTGCCTCTTGTGTGCGCACCAGGGAGTGGGGCGCCTGGCCAGGCTCATCATCCTGATACCGTTTCCCCCAAAATAAGCCCTAATATTTTGGTGCCAAATAAATAAATAAATAAGAAAGAACGGGTCTTATTTCTGGGGAAACAGGATAGTAAATGAACAAGTAGACCCACTGATGTTATTTACAAATCAAAACACATACATAAAACAGAGCCTGGGGCCTGTTCAGGAGCCCGTTTCTTGGGTGTATTAGTTATTGGGATTTGAGATTTCTTGGCTGCTTTGTATTTTAACTTTTGTCATTATTGTAATTATTTTTTATTTATATCCTGACTTTATAATTTTTCTATAAACAAATACAGGCAGGGAACACATCTAAATACTCCAGTGTTTCTCAACCTTGACAATTTTAAGGCATGTGGACTTCAACTCCCAGAATTCCACAGCCAGCAACGCTGGCTGTGGAATTCTGGGAGTTGAAGTCCACATGCCTTAAAATTGTCAAGGTTGAGAAACACTGCAATACTCTTTCTTCTTTCTATTTTCTCCAAAAGAATAACCCTGTGAAGTGAGTTGTGCTGACGGTGTCTAGCCCGGCTAAGGCTCAAAAGGAACTAAGGATTGCGACAAAAGTCAAAAATAACAACAACAACAAAGCTTCTTTCAACATGTAAAAAAAAAAGAAAAAAGTGAAGAAAATGATTGGCCCATTAGTGGGGGAAAGTGGCAAGAAGGTGACAAGCAACAGCGAGAAAGCAGAACTATTTAACTCGTTTTTTGCATTCGTCTTTACACAAACGGGAAAAAAAAACAGTCCAACTTATCAAAAACAGTACCGTAAAAAAACAGATTAGAAACACAAGTTAAGATAGGCAAGAAAATGGTAAGTGAGCACCTGTCTAGCCTAGACGAGTTCAAATCGCCAGGACCAGATGGATTACACCCCAAGGTTCTCAAGGAACTGGCAGATGTGATCTCCGAACCATCAAACTATATTTTTCAAAGATCCTGGAGCACTGGGGAACTACCAAAGGACTGGAAAAAAGCTGATGTAGTTCCCATCTTCAAAAAAGGAAAAAAAATGGATCCAGGAAACTAGAGACCTATCAGCCTGACCTCAATACTTGGGAAGATTCTGGAAAAGATAATCAACAACGAATCAGCGAACACCTAGAGCAGTGTTTCTCAACTTTGACAATTTTAAGGCATGTGGACTTCAACTCCCAGAATTCTGGGAGTTGAAGTCCACATGCCTTAAAATTGTCAAGGTTGAGAAACACTGACCTAGAGGCAAACAAAGTCTTTACCAAAAGCCAACATTGGTTTGTCAAAAACAGATCATGCCAGACAAACCTTATTGCATTCTTTGCCAAGTGACAAAATTAGTGGATCAGAGGAATGCTGTGGATATAATTTACTTGGACTTCAGTAAGGCATTTGAGTAGATCACAACCTACTACTTGATAAGATAGAAAAATGTGAGTTAGACAGCGTCACCACCAAATGGATTTGTAGCTGGCTGACCGGCCATACTCAGCATGTGGTCCTCAATGGAACTGCATCTACATGGAGGAAAGTATGTAGTGGGGTGCCCAAGGCTCTGTTCTGGGCCCAGTGCTCTTCAACATCTTCATCAATGATTTGGACGAGGAGATAGATGGGGAATCTCATCAAATTTGCAGATGACACCAAGCTGGCAAGAATAGCCAATACTCCAGAAGATAAGCTTAAGATACAGAAGGTTCTTGACAGACTGAACACTGGGCGCTATCTAACAAAATGAAATTCAGTGGTGAAAAAACTAAGATTCTACATTTAGGCAAGAAAAACCAAATGCACACGTATAGTATAGGTGGTACCTTGCTCAATAGTAGTAACTGTGAGAGAGATCTCGGAGTCCTAGTGGACAATCACTTAAATATGAGCCAGCAGTGTGCTACATCTGCCAAAAAAGCCAACACAGTACTAGGCTGCATTATCAGGGATAGAATCAAGATCACGTGAAGTGTTAATACTACTTTACAAAGCCTTGGTAAGGCCACACTTGGAATACTGCATCCAGTTTTGGTCACCACAATGTAAAAAAAAAAAAAGATGTTGAGACTCTAGAACAGTGGTTCTCAACCTGTGGGTCGGGACCCCATTTGGGGTCGAACGACCATTTCACGGGGGTCGCCAAACAATGCAGTCCGCCATTTTTTCCCCCTTTTTCTTAGCTGTGATACTCCCTTTTATTCTATTGGCTTTTGAAAGCCAATAGAATAGACTCTCTTGAATAGAGTCTAATTCTATTGGCTTTCAAAAGCCAATAGGAATTGTCCAGGCTGTCTCTGCCCTGCTGAGCCCGCCAAAAGTCCCATTCTGCAAACAGTGCTGCATCAGTTGAGTAGTCCTCGACTTACCACTGGTTGGGGGTTGCGGCATTAAAAAGGTTGAGAACCACTGCTCTAGAAGGAGTACAGAGAAGAGTAACAAAGATGATTAGGGGACTGAAGGCTAAAACATATAAGGAACGGTTGCTGGGGTATTTCTAGTCTAATGAAGAGAAGGACGAGGGGTGACAGGATAGCCGTGTTCCAATATCTCAGGGGCTGCCCCAAAGAAGAGGGAGTCAAGCTGTTCTCCAAAGCAGCTGAAGGCAGGACAAGAAGTAATGGATGGAAACGAACTAAAGAGGGAAGCAACCTAGAACTAAGGAGAAATTTCCTGACAGTTAGAACAATTAACCAGTGGAATTCTGGGAGTTGAAGTCCACAAGTCATAAAAGGGCCAAGTTTGAAGACCCCTGTTCTAGATAATATTTTAATGTCTTATTTCTTGTGTAGGTTTAAAAAGCTTAGGGGCACTTAGGTGTGCCCAAATCTGATGAGAATAACATTATTGATTATTGCACCCATCTGTTGAATGGAACAAGTATGATACATGGAACAGGAGACAATTAGGTCTCACGGTGAAGGTAGCAGGCTAGTAACCAGGACAGCGAGTCCTAGTCCTGCCTTAGGCATGAAAACTAGCTGGGTGACTTTGGGCCAGTCACTGTCTCTCACCCCAACCCACCTCACAGGTTTTCTTTTATGGGGAAAATAGGAGGAGAAAGAAGTATTAGGCATGTTCAGCACCTTAATTATCTAGGTTGGTAATGAAACGCTTGCACCAAGCTTAGAGAGTGCCAAGGACTCTGCTTGACTTCCTTTCGAGTGTTCTCCTTTCCAGTCCTCAACGTTTCTGGTGAGGCAACTGGCAATGAAATACATCTCTACAGAAGTAGAGATGACTTGGGTTGAAGCAGCTACTCCAAGCTTCCCAGAAGACACAGCTTCCTCGGGACTTCATGGATAGATATTTCACCCAAGACACAATGCCCGCTTTGCATAGTCTGTATCAATAGACACAGGGAGAAGAAAACAGCCTAACCATTTGGAGGAATTGAGCCAGGGTGTCTGCAGTGGAGGTAAAAAAAATTTGCTAGATTGGTGTTCCTCAAACTTGGCAACTTAATGTGTGGACTTCAACTCCCAGAATTCCCCAGACAGCCATGCTGGCTGTGGAACTCTGGGAGCTGAAATCCACACATCTGGACTTCATCTGGCTGTGGAACTCTGGGAGTTGAAGTCCACACATCTCCAAGTCTCCAAGATTGAGAAACATGCTCTAGCTCAGGGGTCTTCAAACCTGGCCCTTTTATGACTTGTGGACTTCTCCAGAATTCCCCAGCCAGCGTACCTGGGAGTTAAAATCCACGTCATAAAAGGGCCAAGTTTGAAGATCCCTGAGCTAGAGCATGTTTCTCAATCTTGAAGACTTGAAGATGTGTGGACTTCAACTCCCAGAATTCCTGAGCCAGCCATGCTGGCTCAGGAATTCTGGGAGATGAAGTCCACAGGTCATGAAGTGGCCATAGTTGTCCATCCCTGATTTAGTTGGTAGCTGTGATCAAAGAAACAGTATAAAAAAGTGTCAGATTTCAATTGCATGCTTGTGTCTGTTATTTTGACTTCTTTTAGTCCCCTGTGGACTCCTTTCCTGAATTATCCAACAATTTCTCCAGAATCCCACCTACCTCAGGAAATTCTGTAACAGACCTGTCTTCTCTTTCAGGAAGAACCAACTGCCTACTAGAAGGATCAGTCCTTTCATCAATGACTATGACAACAGAAAGGAAATGAGCCATTGAGAAACCACAGGATGCTTTGTAGATAAACATAATTAAAATTCCAATGCTGAATTCAAGTGTCGAAATGTGTGTGTTTAGGAGAAATCCCAGAGGGAGGGGTTGCTTTTCCGGGTTTTTTTTTTTTTTTCACTCTTGACCAGGGTTCTTCAAACCTGGTCCTTTTATGACTTGTGGACTTCAACTCCCAGAATTCCTCAGCCAGGCACCTAGAGCAGTGTTTCTCAACCTTGACAATTTTAAGGCATGTGGACTTCAACTCCCAGAATTCCACAGCCAGCATTGCTGGCTGTGGAATTCTGGGAGTTGAAGTCCACATGCCTTAAAATTGTCAAGGTTGAGAAACACTGACCTAGAGGCTAACTGTATAAATAGCTGTAGCAGCAGCCTTTTGGGCTGCTTCTGTTACGAGTTAATAAACTTGTTTGCTGTTTCAACACTCTGCTTCATTCAATGCCTAAAGAACGGAAGATATAACAGATGGGAAACAGGAAAGGATAGCATAAAGGCAGGATGTAAGATAAATACGTAGACAAAAATTAGCTGGGTCTTAGAGTGGGAAAGCTATAAAAACATCGGTAAGAAGAAATGGCTAGCCAGGAAAACTTAACTAAACTGAAAAACAGGAAAGAACCTATTGTTCTAAGGATCCCAGAACTCAAAACCAACAATTGAATATGTCTAATATATTATTAACGTACACGTGATGTATGATTTAGTATGTAGCAGGAAATAGGAAGGTCAGAGAGAGTGTAACCTCATAGTACCTCAGCCAGTGGGGAAAGTGGAGGGATGTGGCGGCTAGGGCAGGCCTGTATAAATGAAGGGAATATTTGGGATTGAAACTTTGGAGAGAACCAAGCTTTGATAGCTTCTCTCCCTGCTTTTTTGCAATAAACGAAACAAAAGGCCTTCACTGTGTCTTGGCTGGTTATTGGTCAGGCGAGCTTGCCTCTGGTCACCAAGGAAAGTGGCCAGGAGCACATAACAGCTTGGTGGAATAACTGCTGATAACAGGATAATCAGAATTTAGCCATGCTTTTAATGTGGAATAATGAACAATCATTAGAATAATGATGTGTCTGCATAACACTGGAATAGTGCTGTGTTAGTAGTATGTGACTAACCTAATGCGCATTGCACTTGGATACAATGTATGTAGCAAACTCTCCATTGTATACCCCTGAGAAAGGAACCTAATGTATTACAGTGTGTGTATTTCAATGTGTATTCCTTTGTTCCGGAGAGAAAAAAAAGCAAAATATAAAACTGAAGTCTGAACCCGCCCTCGGGGTTCAGAATTGCTGGTTGCTATTGCTTCTGAACCTGCGCAATAAATCTCTCTGCTAAAACCCTCTGGAATTCGTAAGAGTCCTTTCATTTTCCACAAGACTTTGACAAATGGGGGAAGGTTTTAACACTGCTCTTTTATTTGTTTGGTTGCTCTCTGATTTTAGTTTGAAAAACTCTTAACCCTCCATGTTAGATGGGGACTTTCCCCCCCCCCCAGCTTGCTCCTTCCTTCCTTCCTTCCTTCCTCCTCCCTTCTTCTCCTTCCTCCCTCCTCTCCTCTCCTTCCTTCCCCTCCTCCTCCTCCCTCCCTATCTACCCTTCTTTCCTTCCTCCTCTCCTTCCCTCCCTCTCTTCTCCTTCCTTCCCCTCCTTCCTTCCTCCCTCCCTATCTACCCTTCCTTCCCTCCCTCTTCTTCCCTCCTTCCTTCCCCCCCTCCTCCTCCTCCTCCCTCCCTATCTACTCTTCTTTCTTTCCTCCTCTCCTTCCCTCCCTCTCTTCTTCCTTCCCCTCCTTCTCCTTCCTTCCTTCCTTCCTCCCTCCCTCCCTATCTACCCTCCCTTCCTTCTTCTTCTTCCCTCCTCTCCTTCCTTCCCCCTCCTCCTCCCTCCCTATCTACTCTTCTTTCTTTCCTCCTCTCCTTCCCTCCCTCTCTTCTTCCTTCCCCTCCTTCTCCTTCCTTCCTTCCTCCCTCCCTCCCTCCCTATCTACCCTCCCTTCCTTCTTCTTCTTCCCTCCTCTCCTTCCTTCCCCCTCCTCCTCCCTCCCTATCTACCCTTCTTTCCTTCCTCCTCTCCTTCCCTCCCTCTCTTCTCCTTCCTTCCCCTCCTTCCTCCCTCCCTCCCTATCTACCCTTCCTTCCCTCCCTCTCCTTCCTTCCCCCTCCTTCTCCTTCCTCCCTCCCTATCTTTCTTTCTTTCCTTCCTTCCTTCCTTCCTTCCTCCCTCCCTCCCTTCCTTCCTTCGCCTCCCACCTCCCCCGTTAAAGTGACTCTGGCGGCATATACATTATATACAGTAACCCTTAAGGGTTAACCTCACCGAGCGTAGATTCCTAGAAAGCCACCAGCATTTGAGAGCGACGGAATATAAAGACGATGGCTCCTCCCTCTTCCTGCTTCTCCCGGGGGCGGGGCGTGGGCGTGGCCGAGCTGCCTGGCGCCCGCAGCCTGGGGAAGGTGAGCCGAGTCTTCTTCGCCTTTGCACAAAGGGAAGATGGAGCCCGCGGGAGGGAAAGAGGAAGAAGCCGGAGGGGGGAGGCGGCTGGGAAGAGCGAGCCTCGGGAGGGGAGAGGCGTGCGCGTGTCAGAGGGAGTGAGAGAGAGCCGAAGATCAGCAACCCATCGGCCACGGGGGTGATGGGAGCTGTAGTCCCCCTACGTTGGGAAGGCTCCCCGATCGTTTTAGCGCTTGGCCACTTGGCTGAATGGATTGCAACAGGGAAGCGCGGAGATGTGCGTGGCACACCCTGCAGAACAGGGATGCTCAAAGGTGACCCAGGCAAACAGGATCGTGGGAACGGTTCGTTTGGTTCGGAAGCATCCCTGAGAGGCTGATTTGAACCCGCAATCTTCTCCCTTACAAACCGTGAAAAACAGCCTTGTCCAAAAAGGGTAAGGAACTTGGGACAGCTGAAAGTGGCTGGGCTCACTTGTCATGCCTCACACCGTAATATCCTTCCTTTGTTTTGCTGCAACTGACTCTCTGTTTGTGGTTTGGGCTACATCAGCCTTGTGTGGTAGTCCAGATAAGAAGCACACCCAGATGAACCAATTCTACTTTACAGCTAGTCCTCGACTTAACAACAGTTTGTTTAGTGACCGTTCGAGATTACAGTGGCATATTTATGACGGTTACAATGGCCTGGGTATGTGTGAGAGTGTGTCATGTGATCCCCTTTGGCGACTTTCTGACAAGCGAAGTCAATGGGAAGTCAGATTCACTTAACATCCGAGTTACTAACTTAACAACTGCTGTGGTTCGCTTAACAACTGTGGCAAGAAAGGTCATAAAATGGGGCAAAACTCACTTAACGACTGTCTCGCTTAGAAATGTTGGGCTCAGTTGAGGTCATAAGTTGAGGACTACCTGTATTGTGAGGTTACATTAACAGAATCTTGCAAGACTGAAAGGACAAGGGGTGGCATGATAGCAGTGTTCCAATATCTCAGCCCCAAAGAAGAGGGAGTCAAGCTATTCTCCAAAGCTCCTGAAGGCAGGACAAGAAGCAACGGATGGAAACTAATCAAGGAGAGAAGCAACCTAGAACTAAGGAGAAACTTCCTGACAGTTAGAACAATCAACCAGTGGAACAACCTGCCTCCAAAAGTGGTGAATGCTCCAACACTGGAAGTTTTTAAGAAGAGACTGGACAGCCATTTGTCTGAAATGGTATAAGGTTTCCTGCCTGAGCAGAGGATTAGACTAGATCAGTGGTTCTTAACCTGGGCGATATTGCCCCCCAGGGGGCAATTTCATTTTTCAAGGGGGCGATGGAACGAAAAGGGGGCGATATGGGGGCAATGGAGTGAGAAGTTTTGGGGACACTTTTGAGATTTTTTTCGTACAGTGAATAGCTGTATATCTGTCATACAAAAACATCAGATGATCGCTATTAGTGGATTGAATTGTGTTTTCAAATGTTCCTCCAGCTAGCTTCAGTACAGAACGCCGTACATATGTGAATACGCATCGCTTATCTTCATGCACGTTGCGCAGCAGCCTCTACCCATACACTGGCGCGCCATTGGCCAGAATATGGGAGATATGGGGAAAAGACTGGAAATAAATTATTTGCATCGATATGTCCTGATGGCAATTTTAAAGAAAACAAAAAAAGTGTTTGCATAAATTGAAGAATTATTTCCTACGTTGTGATTGAGAAGTTATGTTGGGGGAGGGGGGCGATGACAACTTCCTCATTGGCTCAAGGGGGCGATTCGTTCAAAACGGTTAAGAACCACTGGACTAGATGACCTCCAAGGTCCCTTCCAACTTTATTATTATTTGTCCCCTTCTCAGTTTTTACTCTCTGGGAAACTGAAATGCTTCCCGTGTGTTCCCTCATCTGTGGCCTGAGCTGCCTCTTCTGAGACCTTTGCCCAGGCAGTGAGTGTTTCTCCTCTTCTCCCAAGGTCATTCCCACATATCACATTACAGTCTATGTGACTTGACTTGTGCGAACCCCTTCAATACTCTTTCATTCCACCCATTATCATATTACAGGTAGTGCTCAACTTACAACTGTTCTTTTAACGACCGCTCAACGTTACGTTGGCACTGGGGAAAAAAGTGACTTATGACCGTTTTTCACACTTAACGGCCGATGCAGCATCCCCATGGTCACGTGGTCAAAGTTCAGATGCTTGGCAACGGACTCATATTTATGACGGTTGCAGTGTCCCAGGGTCACCTTTTGTGGCCTTCTGACAAGCAAAGCCAATGGGGGGAAATCCGGATTCACTTAACGAGCATGTCAGTAATTTAACAAATGCAATGATTTCATTTAACACCTGTGGCAAGAAAAGTCGTAAAATGGGGCAAAGCTCACTTAAGGAATGTCTCGTTTAGCAGCAGAAAATTTGGACTCAATTGTGATTGCAACTTGAAGCCTATCTGTATATTTATCCCCCACCCCCTTTTAAAATATTTGTTTTATGTATGTGTTTTCAGTGGCAAACCTATCTAATCTTCCTTTTTCCTTGCTTTTACACAGCAGCCTGTGAGGTGGGATAGGTTGAGAGAGAATGACTGGCCTACCTAGTGGTCACCTAGTGGCTTTCATGCCTAAAGTGGGACTAGAATTCACTGCCTCCTTGTCTCCTGATCTCAACCACTACACCAGTGGTGGCGAACCTATGGCACGGGTGCCAGAGGCGGCACTCAGAGCCCTCTCTGTGGGCACACGTGCCATCGCGCCAGTCCTAAGCCTTCAGCTGGTTTTTATAAAACCTTTTCGCGTTAGGCCTCCGCCATCGTGTGCAAAACAAAAAAAGGTTCAATCAATCAGTCAATTTCAACTTCTTGCGGGGAAAAAAAAATCTTGCAAAGTTGGAATTGATTGATTGAACTTTTTAGTCCCACCCAGTCTGCCGTTACCACCGCAGCGACGCCCAGCCAATGGGCCACACCCACCCAATGGGCCTTACCCACCCGGCACCCGACGATGCATAAGTGGGTTTTGGGTTGCAGTTTGGGCACTCGGTCTCTAAAACAGTGGTTCTCAACCTTTTTAATGCCGCGACCCCCAAACCGGTCGTAAGTCGAGGACTACTCAACCGTCGTAAGTCGAGGACTACTCAACTGGTGCAGCACCGTTTGCAGAATGGGACTTTTGGCGGGCTCAGCAGGGCAGAGACAGCCTGGACAATTCCTATTGGCTTTTGAAAGCCAATAGAATTAGACTCTATTCAAGAGAGTCTATTCTATTGGCTTTCAAAAGCCAATAGAATAAAAGGGAGTAGCACAGCTAAGGAAAAGGGGGAAAAAATGGCGGACTGCGTTGTTTGGCGACCCCCGTGAAATGGTCATTTGACCCCAAATGGGGTCCCGACCCACAGGTTGAGAACCACTGCTCTAAAAGGTTCGCCATCACTGCACTACACCAAAGTGGTTCTATATCTCTATTTACCTATCCTGTTTCTTAGAGTGTGAATCTAGGCCAGGGGTAGGCCACCTTGGCCCTTTTATGACTGGTGGACTTCAACTCCCAGAATTCCTAAGCCAGCCATGCTGAGGGGAAAGGGAGAGGTTTCCAAGCTGAGCCATGCTGGCTCCGGAATTCTGGGAGTTGAAGTCCACGAGTCATAAAAGAGCCAAGGTTGCCTATTCCTGATTTCTAGGCCCAGCCCTCATGAATTCAATAACCTGGAAGAAGGGAGTTTTGAAGGAGATGGGCGATTAAAAAATGTGAAAAATAAATAAAACACAGGAGGTCAGTATTGATTATCCCACGATTACCCGTTTCAGAAGCCCTGAACCCAAGAGAAAAAATACGAACCCAGCTGAAAGAGTCTTAGGTAGCCTCTGTTAACCTGCTACCTCCAAATATTTGGGGAATTCCCATACAATAGGCTGAATGAAATAAGGTTGTGCTTTCATCAGTCTCAGCTAATCGTCCCTTTTGCAATTTGTTGGATTGTAACTCCCGTTATTCCAAAAACACCGTTATTGCTGGTGTTGCCTTTTGGTGAGGGTGATGAGTATTGTGGTCCAGCGTGGCTGGGGGCAATGGTTGGGAGAATACTTCTCTTAGTCTTGTCTGTCATTGATTAGAAACTTTGCCTGTCATTGATTAGGAAGCCATATGTGAAATAACGGGCCTGCTGAAAAAGTTGAGAACAGGCTGAACGAAAAACCGGTGACATCTTTCCGAAGAATTTTTAATGAAGATGTTCAGATGTCCAGGATGAGTCAAAAGGAAGATCTGGAGAAGTTGCAGGCTGGCATTGTTCTTTTTGACCCGGATAGAGTTAAAAAGGAAGAGGAAACCATCACATTGGACCAGACCAAAGATCTTGAAGGTGAGAAAACAATCCATAGATTAGTGGTTCTCAATCTTTTTAATGCCGCGACCCCCAACTGGTCGTAAGTCGAGGACTAACCAACCGGTCGTAAGTCGAGGACTAACCAACCATTTGTATGTCAAGGACTTTCCCTGCCTGGGAGCGCTGCGCATGCGTGGTGCCGCCCCCTGCGCCGGCTGAGTTGTAGTTTGCAAGGGGCAGCGATGGCGCAGGGTGACCACCGGCTGGGCCACCAGCTGGCCCAGCCCAAGGGAGGTAAGGCACCCGCCAGGCCCCACGCGCGCCAGCAACCCTCCCTGCGCCTGCCGGCCTCCCACCTCCCACCCCTGGCCCTCTTTTCCTTACATTTTTAGTAGTTGCTCAGCAGGGAGGGGTGGAAGCTTCCAGACAGCTCGCCTTCGCTGCAGACAACTTGCAGCACCGTTTGCAGACTGGGACTTTTGGCGGGCTCAGCAGGGCAGAGACAGCCTGGACAATTCCTATTGGCTTTTGAAAGCCAATAGAAGTAGACTCTATTCAAGAGAGTCTATTCTATTGGCTTTCAAAAGCCAATAGAATAAAAGGGAGTAGCACAGCTAAGGAAAAGGGGGAAAAAATGGCGGACTGCGTTGTTTGGCGACCCCCGTGAAATGGTCGTTCGACCCCAAATGGGGTCACGACCCACAGGTTGAGAACCGCTGCCATAGATGATCTTAAGTTAGAGAAGCAATGTTTATTCCTTTAATTTAAATGGCCGCCCGTCTCAAATACATGACTCTGGGTGGCTGTATATTTTTGGAAATGCCAATTGGCCTGGGCCTTGCAACTTCATGCTGGGCTTCCCCACTGACTTTGGTTGCGGGAAGCTGACAGGAAGTTGCCTCGTCTAACAACCGTGGGATTTGGTGGATGCCAGCAACCAGGACTGTAGGGATTGTCATTGCTAAGTCATGTAGTTATGCTGCAAGACAGGATCATTTAGCAACAGAAATTCCAGTTGCTGTTATAAGTTGAGGACTATCTGTGTCAGACCTGTCAGCACTTAAACCTCTAAATAGAAAGGATTCTTGGCTCCACTTGTTGAGAAAGGTATAATGTATAATGCAGGGGTAGGCAACCTTGGCTCTTTTATGACTCGTGGACTTCAACTCCCAGAATTCCTGAGCCAGCATGGCTCAGCTTGGAAACCTCCCTGTCCCCTCAGCATGGCTGGCTCAGGAATTCTGGGAGTTGAAGTCCACAAGCCAAAAAAGGGCCAAGTCTGAAGAACACTTTCCTAGACAGTCACTTCTCTGAAATGATATAGGGCAGGGGTAGGCAACTTTGGCTCTTTTATGACTTGTGGACTTCAACTCCCAGAATTCCTGAGCCAGCATGGTTGGCTCAGGAATTCTGGAATTGAAGTCCACGAGTTATAAAAGAGCCAAAGTTGCCTACCCCTGGTATAGAGTATTACAGTAGTACATAGCTGGAGCTGAGAATCCCGCACCCAAATCCCTAAGTTCAACTTTTCGCTCACTTAACTGCCTCCCATCACTGATTCCGCCCCACCCCCCCCGACCAATCAGGTTCAAGCAAGATGTTTTCAGAATGGACTTCAAAGTTCTGACTGGCGAACCAAACCAAGCAACCCCCTTCGGGACTTTCTGATTTCTTAATGCAAAGCTTTATTGAGTACACCATATCGGCACCTGTGAAAGTAAAACCAGCTCTGGCTGGACCTGTCCCAATCCCCCTCTAGCAGTGGTGGCGAACCTACGGCTCGCGTGCCAGACGCGGCACTCAGAGCCCTCTCTGTAGGCACACACACCGTCGCCCCAGCCCTGCCTCCTCCCATAGTCCCCTCCTCACCAGCAGCCCCCTGGAGGAGAGTCACCCCCGGGCATGGCCCACGCAAAGCAGTGCAGCCAAAGACATGGTAGCCAGGCAGTGGGGACAAGACTCCGCTCTTGCGCCATGTCGCGCGCAGCTGATGCTGCGGGGCACGGGTGGAGGGCGTGGCCACCATGGCGCTGCTGGACTGCCTGGGTGATCTGTGGTGGGCCGTGAAGGTGGTGGGTGGCCCAGCAAGCACGGCGGAGCAGGGACGGGTGGGGGGGGTTGGGCACTCAGTCTCTAAAAGGTTCGCCATCACTGCCCTATAGTAAAAGCATTAACTTCTTCCTTCTCTCTCTGGATCAGGTCACGTTGCCCAATCAAGTTGGAAAATATTGTTATGAGAGAGCATCTCTGGGCCCGCCAGACACCTGGCTATTGTCCTTGATTCCCACAGTCTGCTTCTTTAACCTCTTCCCCTCCCCCTGAGTTCGTTGGCAAGTTGAGAAGCAATGTCTGTCGCACCAGGAAGACTGGGCTTCGAAACTTGACAGGGACACTTGAAAGATAGGTTGGTATGCAGCTGCCGCCTTCTCCCAGCCGGCTGACCTTGAAGCAGCATCTTGGGGAGATATAGCAATTACTTTTCCTTTCCCCCAAGGATCTCTTCTTTTCCTCACCCTTTACCCAGAGTTCATGGCAGATTGTCACCACATGGCAGTGACGCACACAAGCAAGCGTGAGGTGGCAACTGATATTCTGTAATTTTTTTTAAAAAAAGTCTCTGCTTTATTCTTTCAGGCAAAAGTTATGTGCCTGAGGTAAAAGGTGAGGACCATCGATGGAAACCCGAGGAAAGGGCAGCTGAAGAGAACGGGTGCAACATTGTTGTGCACAAAGAACCCGTGAAAGGTGCCCAAGACCTGTGGAGGCCTCAGAGGAACTCTCTGGAAAAGACTGCAGCTAACTCCGTTTCTTCCTGGGGAAGTGAACTCCCCAGACGGGAGGGACTCCGCGTAGGCGAATGGCAGAAGAGTTCGCTCGGCAGCACAGCTCAAGACAAGCAGGCCATATACCAGTGCTTGTACTGTAAGAAGTCCTTCAACGCCCACTTTAAATTGATTAGACACCACAGAATCCATACTGGGGAGAAACCGTACAGGTGTTTGGATTGCGGGAAGAGCTTTGACCAAAAAGGCAACCTCATCGCGCACGCGAGAATCCACACAGGGGAAAAACCGTTTGTGTGTCCCGATTGTGGGAAAAACTTCAGCCACAAAGGGAGCCTGGTTTTGCACGTGAGGACCCACACGGGAGAGAAACCTTACAAATGCCCGGACTGTGGGAAAGGGTTCAGCCGATCTGGGTCCCTGAAAGAACACGAGAAGACTCACACCGGCGAGAGACCATACACTTGCTTGGACTGCGGGAGAAGTTTCAGAAAGAACTCCGAGCTGGCCACCCATTACAGGTTTCACACAGGCGAGAAGCCGTATAAATGTTCAGGCTGTGAGAAGTCCTTCAGCACCAGCTCTAACCTCATTGCCCATCAAAGGACTCACACTGGGGAAAAGCCCTACAAATGCTGTGACTGTGGGAAAAGATTCAGCCAGGCCGGAAACCTGAAAGAACACGAGAGGACTCATACCGGAGAGAAGCCGTACAAGTGTCCAGACTGTGGGAAAAGCTTCAGGCAAATTTCTTACTTTATGAAGCATCACCAGACTCACCTGCCGGAAGGGAAAATGCCAATGGAGGAGAAACCCTATAAATGCTCTGACTGCGGGAAAGGCTTTGGAGAGAAAGCAAGCCTGGGCAGGCACGAAAGAATCCACACGGGAGAGAAACCGTTTAAATGCTCTGATTGCGGGAAGAGCTTCTGCCTCAAATCAAACCTGGTTGTCCACGTGAGAATCCACACCGGAGAGAAACCGTACAAATGCTCCGAGTGCGGGAAGTGTTTCAACCAGACGTCAAGTCTTCATAATCACGAGAGAACCCACAAGGGGGAGGAGCCCCATAAATGTTTAGAATGCGGGAAAAGCTTCAACAGGCCGTCGCAGCTGAAGACGCACGAGAGAATCCACACCGGAGAGAAACCCTTCAAGTGCTCGGAATGCGGGAAAGGCTTTGTTTACAGTCACCATCTTGTTAGGCACCAGAGGAATCACACGGAAGAGAAACCTTACATCTGCTCCAAATGTGGAAAGGGGTTTAGCCACAAATCCACCCTTATTAGACATCAGGGAATCCATAAGGAAGGGAAAAAATAGATACATTTTTTGACTTTGCATCTTCCACGTGTGTGAAAACTCGTACAGAAGTCAGAACCGCACCCATAAGAGATCCAGGATGTGGACAACCAATTTTCTGCCCTGACCAGAGAACTAGAACTAGACCAGGGGTAGGCCACCTTGGCTCTTTTATGACTCGTGGACTTCAACTCCCAGAATTCCTGAGCCAGCTATGGCTCAGCTTGGAAACCTCTCCCTTTCCCCTCAGCATGACTGGCTCGGGAATTCTGGGAGTTGAAGTCCACACATCTCTGATAAAGAGACTAAAATCATAATGATGGTTATTATGAAAAGATAAAAGATTTAAATCAGAAGGTATACTGTATATAATGGGGCTCTTTTATGACTTGTGGACTTCAACTCCCATGTTCATATGGTTTTACCAGGTAAAATGTATGTGTCTGCCTCTTCCTCCATTTCCAACTTCAACAATTCTGAAAGGGGAGAAAGATGAGAGGAGAGAGATCAGAATCCCATCACCCCCAATTCGAGCTTATAAGAGTTTACAGGTAGTCCTCGACTTACAACCGTCGTTCGAAGTTACAACGCAAGGGTAGGCCACCTTGGCTCTTTTATGACTCGTGGACTTCAACTCCCAGAATTCCTGAGCCAGCCTGGCTCAGCTTGGAAACCTCTCCCTTTCCCCTCAGCATGGCTGGCTCAGGAATTCTGGGAGTTGAAGTCCACGAGTCATAAAAGAGCCAAGGTTGCCTAGCCCTGAACTAGACAGATGTTTTGTCAGATCCAGGAGGACCCTTCAAAATGTTCTCCCTCACGGTGGTTAGTGATTGATCTTTGGAGAGCTTGAAGATACCGCACCAAGTCTCCTGTTTCCATAATTCAGACTCAGACTTTTGAAAAGGCACCTGGACTTCCTTAGCTTTTTTTCCTTGAAAACGTTTCGCTTCTCACCCAAGAAGCTTCTTCGGTTCTGACTTGAATGGTGGAGAATGGAAGGACTTATCTTCTTTGCAGTCATCTGATGGGTCATTAGCACCTTTGAGACAACCGTGACCTGGATGATTGACAAACGCTACAGGCAATTTGAGTATCTGAACATGCAGTTAAGGTAACGCCACCTCCGTGGAAAGAGGAGGGGAGGTTAAGCCCAGCAGGAGATCCCTGTTTGAAGAAGTACAGAAATCTCCTTGGAAGTGGGAGATATCCAGGAAAACCCTACCTCTAAAACAGCTGAATGAGAACTAAGCATACTTGGTGATTATTGGGGATACTAGTGGGACGGTATAGAGCAGTGGTGGTGAACCTATGGCACGGGTGCCAGAGGCGGCATGCAGAGCCCTCTCTGTGGGCACGCACGCCGTCGCCCCAGTCCTAGGCCTTCAGCTGAGTTTTATAGAACCTTTTCACTTTAGACCTCCGCTGCCGTGTGCAAAAAAAAAAAGGTTCCATCAATCAGTCAATTTCAACTTCTTGCGGGAAAAAAAAAGATCTTGCAATTGGAATTGATTGATTGAACTTTTTTTTTTTATTATTATTAAAAAGTTTTATAAATTTTACAGAAAATAAAAGACAATACAGAAACAAAAAAACAACATATACAAATAAAAAACAAACATTACCCAACAAAAACCCCCCTTCCCCCACCCCTACCCAAACCCCCCCTTCCCCCCCCCAGGGCCTCCCAGAGCAGAATATAGGCTTAATTAAAAAAAATTAAAAAAAAATTATATTTTAAAAAAAAGAATATAAAATGAAAAATATATGTATATATCATTAAAAATTATGAGAAAACTATATAATATTTTTTTATATCAAGTTTAAATTGTATGAATTTTATCCATTTATCCCAAACAGCAAGAAATTTCTCTTGCGTTTGTCCTTTTAAGAAAGCCGAAATCTTTGCCATTTCCGCCAAATGAGACACTTTAAGAAACCACTCCTGCAATGTAGGCAAAGATTCCTTCTTCCACTATTGTCCTACTAACAGCCTCGCAGCTGTAATCAAATTTAACATCAATATAACCTCCTTTGTATCACAATCAATAACTATACCTAACAAAAATAATTGTGGAGTAAATTGATTGAACTTTTTAGTCCCACCCAGTCTGCTGTTACCACTGCAACCATGCCCACCCAATGGGCTACGCCCACCCAATTGGTCACACCCAGCCAATGGGCCACACCCAGCCAATGGGCCACACCCACCCACACTCGACGATGCATAAGTGGGGTTTGGGTTGCAGTTTGGGCACTCGGTCTCTAAAAGGTTCGCCATCACTGGTATAGAGAACTGAGATAGAGAGAGAATAAAATGAAGGACAACTCTAATCATCACTGTTTCAGGTCCCACATGTTTTGGTTTTTATTTCAAGTCTTGTTTCTTGAACTCTCTTCACTGATATGCTTATGTGTCTGTGTTCCTTAGCTGTGTTCAGAAAATCTGTGAAGGAAACCAAACCCCTATGCTAAAACTTGTTGACGGATGAGGGTTTCCCCCAACCTTGGAACTCCTCCTGATGGCTCAACCATGGCTGAGAATGGTGGGCACTGAAAATCCACACCTTTAGAAGGCAAACTGTTCTGTCCCAGCCCACGTGAGTCCTTGTTATGCTCACAAGGAGAAACCCTTCTTCCAACAAGCAGACTGGAACCGCAGGGAAAAAAACCAATCCCCTTTTATTATTCACAGACCTGAGTCAATGTCCAAGGCAAACAAACACAGTCCACAGAAACTCAATCCTCAACATAAACGGTTGCCTTTGGCAACCAGCACCTCCCACAGCTTCCGTTTTATTATTCAGCCAAGGCCTGGCTTCCTAATGCCTTCTCCTTTGCCTTTGGGGCCGCCCTGTTGCATTCCTCTGTCCTACTTGCTTCTCTTGCTGGTGTTTTCGTGCATCCTGGATATCTCCCAGCTGTGATTCATCACTGTCCAACTCAGACTCCCAGCACAGCTGTGTCTCAGCCTGAGCGCAAGTAGAGGGGCCAGGCTCCTCATCACTGTAACTCTTGGAGCTCCTCAGAGGCTTCCTCCGACTCTGATGTCACTCCAGCCCCCCCTCCTTCTCTGATTCCTCAGACTCAGCTGCTGGGTCCGCTGGCTGGCAAGGAATCACAACAGGTGCCAAGATTGGGGAAGCCTGATCTGAGTTCATTCAGAAGGTCCAGTAGGATGCTCAGAACAAGAGAGAAGAAGCTGCAATAACTGAAAAGAGTTGTAGGGTACAGGTGGTCCTCAACCTACGATCACAAACGAGCCCAAAAGTTCTGTTGCTAAGCGAGACAGTTGTTAAGTGAGTCTTGCCCTCTTACGACCTTTCTTGCTGTGGCTGTTGAGTGAATCGCTGCGGTGGTTAAGTTAGTAACAACAGTTAAGTGAATCTGGCTTCCCCGTTGACTTGGCTGGTGAAAAGGTCGCGAAAGTTGGATCACGTGACCTCCCCCCAGACATTGCAACGGTCATAAATATGAATCGGTGGCCAAGCATTCAAATGTTGATGACCTAAACTATGGTGATGCTGCAACAGTCGTAAGTCTGAGAAACAGTCACAAGTCAGTGCCGTTGTAGCTTGGAACGGTCACTAAGCAAATGGTTGTAAGTCAAGGACTACCTGTAGTGTGGGTGCATTCTGACATAGGGCAGACAACATCTTAATTATATTGTTACTTTTGAGTCGTCTTTCTCGATTGGCCTGTTTGGTTGGTGTGCACAAGACTTTGAGGGTCTATATTAGGGGTCTTCAAACTTGGCCATTTTAAGACTTATGGACTTCAACTCTCAGAATTCCTCAGGCAGCCATGCTGGCTGAGGAATTCTGAGAGCTGAAGTCCACAAGTCTTAAAACAGCCAGGTTTGGAGACCCCTGGTCTAAAACTACGTGCTTCTCTGTGGTCAGTTTTTGTGCATGCTTCTTAACGTGTCTGGGCATATGTGCCTCTGCTTCTCTACCCGTGCACAACTGTATGCGTGTGTGTGATAGAATTATCCGGAGTACATGTTTTATACTAAAATAAAAGACTGTGTTGAATTATGGTTACACATCTGGGTAAGCCAGAAGGCGGTCAAAACTGATAAGCCAGATGTGTACTTTTGAACATATAGTCCTCGACTTACAACCAAAATGGAGCCCCAAATTTCTGTGGCTAAATGAGACCGTTGTTAAGTGAATTTTGCCCTATTTTACGACCTCCCTTGCCACAGTTAAATGAATCGCTGCAGCTGTTAAGTTAGTAACACAGTTGTTAATCTGGCATCCCCATTACTTTGCTTGTCAGAAAATCGCAAAGCGTGATCACATGAGGATGCTCCAGCCGTCATAAATACGAGCCAATTGGCAAGCGTCTGAATTTTGATCACACCACCCTGGGGATGTTGCAGTGATGGTAAGTGGGGAAAACGGTCCTAAGTCAGTTTTTTTTTTCCAATGCCGTCGTACCTCTGAACGGGCACTAAATGAAGGCTTGTAAGTCAAGGACTACCTGTACGTGAAACCAGAGGTCCCCAGTCTTTTGGGCACCAGGGACTGGTTCCATTGAGAGAGTTTTTTCCGTGGACTGGAGGGTGCGTGGTTTTGTGTGCTGCCTGCATCTCATGGATGGGCCTTTAGCTTTTTTGTGTGGACCGGTTGCTGGCATGCCGGTACTGGTCCACGGACTGGGGGTTGGGGACTGCTGCTTTAAACCATGTTGAGCAGGGGTCTTCAATCTTGGCCCTTTTATGACTTGTGGACCTCAACTCCCAGAATTCCTCAGCCAGGCATGCTGGCTGAGGAATTCTGGGAGTTGAAGTCCACGAGTCATAAAAGGGCCAAGTTTGAAGACCCCTGGCTTATACCGTGTAGTCTGTTAAATAGTCTGCCTGGAATATATTGTGTAAAGAGTTATGCCCAGAAATGTGTTTTGATTATTTGGATACTCCCAGAGTTCCTCAGCCAGCATATCCACAGTTGGGTTGAACAAGATCCTTTTCAACAATGATATGCTGGAGATACAAAGAATTGGTCCTGGGGCTGATTGATTGATTATCCATCAGTCATCAGAGTGGTGTGAGTTTTAGTGACTACATAGCTTAAGATTTGCTCCAAGACACTCATGTCCTCAGCTTGTTCTTTGTGTCTTCCAATGGTGCAGCCCTCACTACCGTACTAAGCCCATCCCTTGCAGCTGATCATCCTCTTCTTCATTCTCCTTCCACCTTGCCAGCATTCTGGGGTCTTTTTTTTCTTTTTTATTTGTAACATTTTATTATATTATAGAGTAAAATGCAAAAATACAACAACAAATAGTAGGACACGGTGGGGAAGGGAAAGGGAAAGAAAAGTGAGGGAGAGAAGGGAAAAAGAAAAGAGAGAGCATTGACTTCCGATCTCCTCTGTCGCAGTAGAATAAAGCATGAGTGGCGACTTTTTACTTTTCCATAATAGTATAAACTAGTGGACAATCACTTAAATATGAGCCAGCAGTGTGCTGCAGCTATCAAAAAAGCCAACACAGTGCTAGGCTGCATTAACAGAGGGATAGAATCAAGATCACGTGAAGTATTAATACCACTTTACAAGGCCTTGGTAAGGCCACACTTGGAATACTGCATCTAGTTTTGGTCACCACGATGTAAAAAAGATGTTGAGACTCTAGAAAGAGTACAGAGAAGAGCAACAAAGATGATTAGGGGACAGGAGGCTAAAACATATAAGGAACAGTTGCTGGAATTGGGTATGTCTAGTTTAATGAAGACAAGGACAAGGGGGGACATGATAGCAGTGTTCCAATATCTCAGGGGCTGCCAGAAAGAAGAGGGAATTAAGCTATTTTCCAAAGCACCTGAAGGCAGGACAAGAAGCAACGGGTGGAAACTAATCAAGGAGAGAAGCAACCTAGAACTAAAGAGAAACTTCCTGACAGTGAGAACAATTAACCAATGGAACAACCTGCCTCCAGAAGCGGTGAATGCTCCAACACTGGAAGTTTTTAAGAAGAGACTGGACAGCCATTTGTCCAAAATGGTATAGGGTTTCCTGCCGGAGCAGGGGGTTGGACTAGATGACCTCCAAGGTCCCTTCCAACTTTATCATTATTTTTATTATTATTAGCCATTTCCATAACAACAAATCAATCTAATCAGTCAACCTAAAATCAAAGTTTTTGGGTTTTTTTCCACCTCAAGCACAAAATCCAGAAGTGGTCTCCATGTTGAAACAAAAATACTTATATTATTTTCTTTAATCAAAATGGTCAATTTAGCCATCTCTGCCAACTCCACCAGCTTCTGTAGACATTCATCCATAGTGGGAATCGAAATGTCCTTCCATTTTTGTGCATACAATAGTCTTGCTGCCGTCCACATATGTAAGAGCAAAGTTCCAAAACCAGCATTCTGGGCTTCTTAAGACAGTTGGGTCTATTAATA